GGAAAAGAGGCGCCCGCCAAAGCGGCGGGTTCTGAAGAGAATTGGGGTGGTTGAGCAAAGAAGACCCAACCTTTGTTTTAAAAGCCAAAAACCCCAAACCCTAACAAAAGATAAAATGATGGATACGAGTCCAGGCCAATGGGACTTGGACGTCTAGATGTTTAGGCCCTTTTGCTAATCTGAAGGGAACATCTGCAGCCCCAGCCCTAAGTCTCCGCTCCCATTGCCTTGCAGAATGACATCTACGAGTGGGCCCGGGACCACCGCGCCCATCACAAGTTCTCCGAGACAGACGCAGACCCACACAATGCCATGCGGGGCTTCTTCTTCTCCCACATCGGCTGGCTGCTGGTGCGCAAGCACCCGGACGTCATAGAGAAGGGCCAGAAGCTGGACCTGAGCGACATCAAGAATGACAAAGTGGTGATGTTCCAGCGGAGGTGAGTGGTGGGGTCAGCCCCAGCACCGAGCCATGTGGGATGGAGCAGAGACTCCGCAAATGGGCCGGGGACCCTGAGTGCCTTGGATGGAGCACGTGGGGATTGAGGGCATCATGTGAGAAATGTGAGTCTTTGGTCTGCCCGAGGCTTTGTCGTGGGATGAACTGCGAGGAATGAGCTGTGCCTCTCCTATAGGAAGCATTTAGGAGCCTGTGCGACCTCCAGCCCTCCCGCTCCCCTTTCTTGCCCGCCTACCCTGTAGTGTCTTGGCAGTGGTGGGCTGAGCGTCCCACCGCAAAGCACCTCCACGTCTGCCTGCCCATAGCCCAGCTGCTGCTTCTGTTGGCCCAGGGCCCACGCACAGGTGCCTCCAGGCCATCCTTGGGGATGTTGTGGTACACCTTCCAGGCCACGTCTCTGCCCCTCTCCCATCAGTCTCCTCGAAACAGTGTGGTGAAAGAAGAGTTGAAAATGGGGGCATGAGGGAGGCAGTCACTGGGAAGGACAGTCTTGGTTCACTGGTGCCTCTTGGATGGGGTGTCTCTCAGCTGTCTGGGGCTATGCTGGGACTGATCCCAGAGGAGGCAAACCTGCCACCAGGGCTGCAGGCATGGGGAGCTGAACCCACAGAGTAATCACCCTCACTTGGGAGGTCCTTAGTTCAGTCCCAGATGAACCAAGGAAGGTTTATGGCTTCCTTCCTTTTTGTGCTTGTGACTTTTCTTGTGGGTCGTCAGAGTGGTTCAGCTTTCTCTACTCCAATCCCTCTAGTGGGAGTGACCCCACATGCTCATCTGTTTGATGGCGCATGTCTCCCTTGCTTGCGCTTGTTGGTGGGGTATATTGGTAGGCAGGGCCAAGTCTGCAGGGAGGAGTTGCAGCACTGGGCCAGAGCTGGAGACGGGACCTTCTGTGGGACTCTGCAACCATGGGGTGCCTTTATGGAGACCCACACAGCTGAGACGCAAAAGGCAGATGAGGCCAAAAGCAGCATATGGTGTGTGGACTCATGGTGATGGGGACATTGCTTTGTGCACATGTGAGATTGAGACAGGGAGAGCAGCACTTTTGTTTGAGTCTCCTGCCTGGGGATAAGACTTGGGAGTCTCCATGCATGGCTTCTGCACATCCAGGGCAAAAGACGCAGGGCTCAGGGGTGAGGTATTTCTGCACTTGATTTTTCCATTTATAGCTGAGTGTGAATGCTCCAAAGGAGGACCGAACCAGCCCTTCCTGTCCTGCCACTGCCACTGAGTGCTTTCCTCCTGGTCCTTTCCTTTCCAGATACTACAAGCCCTCAGTGGTGTTGCTGTGCTTCATGCTGCCCACTGTAGTGCCCTGGTACTTCTGGGATGAATCCATCATCATCAGCTTCTTCATCCCAGCCATCCTGCGCTACACCATAGGCCTCAATTGCACTTGGCTAGTGAACAGCGCTGCTCACATGTTTGGCAACCGGCCGTATGACCAGAACATCAACCCACGGGAGAACCCCCTGGTCAGCCTGGGGGCCATAGGTACGTTCCGCATCCACGTCTTTTGCTGCGGGTAGACTCTAGAGCGGGTACTGCCCCTTGGGGCTAGAGCTGCTTCTAGGAATTCCTGTGAATCCAGGTGTCCTCACTCCCCCCTTCACCCTTCCCCTCCAGCCTTTGCATCTGGGGGTGTTTCCCAGGCTGGCCAGTGAGTACATGAGGGCAGTGGGGTTATCAGCTCCCACCAGCCTCTCGCCAGGCTGGAAAGGACTCTGCTTCACTTAGCACCTCCTTATCTCAATAGCAGTATTTTATTTACCCTGCTCAAAGGTCTCTGCCCTGTTCACCAGAGTGAAAAACGTGTGCTGCGGTCTCTGCTTATCTGTCTTAGATTTGTCAACTTGAAAACCAACAGATGCACATTTGGACATGTTCTCAGGGCAGCTGGTGATTTTGGGGGTGCTTGAGGATGAGACAAGCCAGATCACCTCGTGTTTGCCTGAAATTTTGGGGACCTAGGGAAGTACATCCCAGGATCAGCATCTGCCCTAATCTGTTCTCCCAAGCCCAAATCCTCAGCTGGTTTGCATCGCTGTATGTCACTGGAGCTGCACTGATTTCCACCACCGAAGGATCTGCTCCTCGATTTTTTTCAGGGAGGGATATGAACAGCAGAGACTCAGGGGGTAGGAGCAGGAGTCCAGCCAGTATCATCGACGGGGTGAGCACAGCGTCGACAGTGTCCGGAGCAGAGGGTGTCTGACTGGGGTAGATCGCTTAGTAGAAGTGTGTCTGCATTATTCCCGTCTGGAAATGGCACTTTGGATTTGGCATTAGGACTGCCAGTGTTGTAGGAGTATTAACTGGCCTGGCTTGTCGAGGACTTGCTGCAGGTCCTGCTGGCAGCTCAACCATCGCTAGGTTTCTCCCAGTGGCAGAGGAAAAGCCGTTAGGATTCCCCTGGTGCAGTTGGTGAGCCAGGGCCTTTCTCAGTTCCTCACCCCATGCTCGTTTTCCACCATAAGTCCTCTGTGACTGTCATTGCCTCATTTGGGCCAGCCCAGGTGTGCTGGACCATGCCCAGAAGAGATGGGGTAGATTGTAGAGAGGTGAAATTTGGCTGCGAAGAGAGAGGAGCCTGGACTCGATCCAGAGCCTGTTTCAGGAACGTGGTGCTTTGGGCCAGGAGAAAGGGGCCATCACCTAGAGCTTTGCAACATCCTCTCCCTGGTCATGTTTTGCAGGAGAAGGCTTCCACAACTACCACCACACCTTCCCCTATGACTACTCCACCAGTGAGTATGGCTGGCGCTTCAACTTAACAACGGCCTTCATCGACCTCATGTGCCTCCTGGGGCTGGCCAGCGATCGCAAGAGGGTCTCCAAGGAGGTCATCCTGGCTCGGAAAATGCGGACTGGAGATGGGAGTCACAAGAGTGGCTGAGTTCCTGCTCCCCTTCACACACACATCCACACCTCTCCTTCCTTCTTTTTTCTCCCTTTCTCCCTTCCTGACCCCTCCGAACACGCTGGACAAAGGTTTAATGTTCTGTTTACTAACTACTGAATAATGCTACCAGTTTGCTTAACGATAATGAGTTTTAACCCCCCTCCCACACTGTGTTTTACGTGATATATTTGAGATCTAGGACTCTGCCTTTGTAACGTAAGGCCACCCCTTTCCCTCCTCTCCTTTTCTTTTCGTCCTTTCTCTCCAGCCCCTCTACCCTGTTTCCCGCTTTACATCGTCCTGGTCTCTCGCTGGCAGAGGAAGTGGTAGGAAGCAGCCTGGGGAGGCCCATCGCTGCCAGCTATGTACCGTGGGGTTAAGGGAAGCCTGTACCAGCCAGCTGAAGAGTTGAAGCAAAGTCAGTGACCTTCTCCCGAAAACCCCTTCCTCTGTCCCTGCTCCTTTCTCAAGGGCTGCTGACACACATGGCATGAGTAAACTGTTCTCCCCAGGAAAAGGAGCCCCATCTCCTTCCCTTGCCATCAGAAAAGGGGTTGTATCTTTCCAAGATGTCTCTTGGGAAGTGTTCTCCCTGCCTCCCCACGGCACAGCCTCTCTGGCTGCGGAGATGAAAGCCCCCAGGCTCTCTCAGACCTCCAGCTGGGTCTGCCGGAGGCCAGGGCGGGTCTGGTGGTGGCAGTAGGAGCTGGACAGGGAGCCTCGGTGGCCATGGTACCTCCACCCTCCTTGCACTGCCCGCTGTGCCCCGCACCACCAGGGCTGAAGGCAGAGCTGGGCTCTGTGGCCCCTGTGGAGACCCACAGTGAGGAGGGGGGACAGATGGAGGGGTGTGCCATGGAGGGGGTTTGTTCACTGCCACTGCCAAGATTTTTGCCAGCAAAAGGGACTTTGCCAAAATGGACGGGGAGAAGGATGGAAACCAAAGCTCCGCTGCTGAGTTAAGCTGCTTTATGTGCTGGAGGAGCAGGGTCCCGCTGCGTGGCAGGGGGATGTCCCGCGGTCTGTGCCTGCCCCGCAGATCTGCTGGGTGCAGGGATGGGGCAGGGGAGCACCTGCCAGTGTAGGGAGAGGTGGGGGTGTTATATCACCGAGCCAACGTGGGCATGCAGCTGGAGAGTGTGCTGGGGGGGGAAAGTTCTTGTGGGTGTTGTTTCCTGCAAGTTGCAGAGACCGCAGCTTGAGTCCAGGTGGTGGATTAGGTTCTGGGTGTCATGGCCCTGAGCCCTTCACTGGGCTGAACATGCTTTTTTCCCCCTTAACTCTCCCCATTATTAATTTTTGTTATTATTAGTTGTAGCAATAGTACTGGTTTTGTTGCTTAAATGCATCAAATGGAGCTGGAGGAAAGCACAAGAGGTGGCCGGAACAAGATGATGCTGGAGTGAGGTCTGCAGCGTCTCCCTTATTCAGGCAGGCCAGGGAGGGCAGAGACAGAGTGGATGCCAACTTCCTCGCCTCAGGTCTGCCATGTGGCAGCCAGGCAAGCTTCACAGGAGCAAGTCTCTGCAGCTTTGCTTTCTGCTGCTGCGAAACTCGCCAGGAGCCAGGACAGCTCTGTGGTGCTCTCCATAACAAGAGCACACTTGTTACTCAGAAAAGAAGTCCTTCTCCTCTCCTTTCCCCTCCCTGCCACCGCCACAGCCTTGTTATTGCTCAGCAATGCGACCCTTCAAGGCTTTGAGCCATCAGGAGCCATGTAGTCTCCAGCGGAGAGGTACAACAGGGAGGAATGGCACAGTGAGCCCTTCACCTCATGGTGTCAGGAGACAGCATCCTTACTGCTCCCAGGCTCGTGGCTGGCTGGAGTGAAGGCGCTGTGGCTGGAACTGTATCCTACCATTTAAAATAAAAAAAAAAAAGCCCTCAAAAAAAAAAAAATAGAGAAACACTGTTAGCTCTGTAATTGCAGGCTGGCTTTTTTCTTGTCTT